TTAAAATTTTTTTTTGATTTTTATTACTGCCGCGCCAACTATTGGATGTTAAATGGATGCGAATAAAATATACTGACCTGTCAATAGTCAAATTTATTATTTTTTGTGACCAAATAATATAATTTTCGAGTAAATGTTTTAATTTTCAATCCAGAAATCAAGATCAAATCGATTAACAGATATACGAATTATCATAAATGAAAATATTTATTCAGACAAGGCGAAAATGAAAAACAAAATAATATATAATATAAAATTTAAATACAATTAATGAAAAGATTTTAAAATTATAAGTAATAATTTCTGGAAGAAAATAAAATAATTTACATATGATACAAAAAAAGAAATAACATAAACATCGTTTTTAGATGTTTTTTCCAAGAATTATAATAAAGGAAATCATTTAATCGGACCAGGTGAAAATGAAAATGAAAATAATATAAAATACAATTAATGAAAATAATTTAAATAAAAAGAAATGATTATCAGAAGAAATAATCAACCGAAGTTCTATGGCGTCGAAAAGTTCTTCAACTAAATGAGCATTATCCGTAAGGATAATGTCATGAGCCGTCCAGCTTTTCTGGCTCCCGGGTATATCCGGAGGGGGCTACTTCGGTAGGGATAGCACCCGCCGAGCTCTCGTCCACGACGCTGCGACCTGTAATCGATTTATTGCGTTTCAAGATCGATTAATTGCGTTTCTTCTTTATCGATAATACATGTACTTTCGATACGATACCTATTTTTTTGCTTCAATTTTTACATTGAATTGCAAATGGACCCCTGCAGCTTCTCCCGAAACATAAACCATCTCCGGGTCCACTAAAAAATATTAATACAAAAAAAATGAGTACCTGCGCCATTATCTTCGAGGATTAAGAAGAACGTTCAAAGTCGTTTGCGACTGAGGCCACGAAGTGCTTTCGATTCGTTAATTTTGTGCATCGAATTCATCATAAATCCTTTTAGAATAGATCACGGACTAAACCGTGGCTACGAAGAGCTTTCAATTTCCCGATATTTTACATCAAGTGGCAGCAGCGTAGCTTCAGAAGCACAACGACTCAACAAATAGTTCAGTGAGATACTTACCCTGATAGATCATTTACGACGTTTGCAGCTTCTAAAGTATCGGAGGTTTTAGACATTGTTTTTATTATAGATAAAATTTAAAAATGAGTTGAAAAATGAGTTTTTATTTCCTGGAAAAACTCATTTTAGCAAATCGAAACCCTATATTTCAAGGGATTTATTAATAAGATTTTAATATAGTTTTGTATTTTGACGGGATTTTAATATGGTTTCGAGTTTCGACATTTTGCCAAGAAGATTTTATTATTTTGCCAGTGACCAACCAACAAGAGATAAAATTTGAAATGAGTAAGAGATTTTTTTTTTTTTTTTTTTTTTTTACGAACCCTGCCGTATATATATATACTATTTTCATAATGCGTCAATTTTACATTTTCGGTAACGAACACGAGTTTTCATAACTACTATTACTCTAACGATTGGAATATTGCCTGCTATATATACGGATCAATACGATCGCCAATCAGGGCTGAAAATTGCTGTCAAAACCGGTCGGTCATGAATTGTTTTTCTAAAATGCTCGTTAAATCAAATTCCCAAAAGAGTAATTAATATAAACTAAGGGAAAATCTTCAATTTTATATGGATCTATAAAATATGAATCAAATCCATGTCATCATAACGTATAATACCCATCTTGATCTCTGTCTAGCAAAAGGCCATCTTATCGACAATAGGATACTCATCATCTAATTATGATTTTCAAACTTACCATCTGATCAAATGTAGATGACGAAATTATCGATATGTGTCTTTATGATTTCGTCAGCAGCTTCTCTGATTAAATCAGAAAAATAAAATTAACAGAAATGTCAAAAAATCCAAAAATAGAAATTTCTGAAAACGTACGAGATTTAGTTTTTGGTCTGCCAGCTTGTTCGACAACTTCGCCATGTACTTATCTTTAAATTATGATGTAGACGCTTAACACCAAAACAATCTTAATTTATCGTCTTGACTCTTTCTATCATTGTTGGATAATTTCTTTTTGTCACGGTTATATGAATAAAAACACCATCAAGAGTATTGTACAAATATTTATTCTCGTAGTTCTAGACAAAGTATGCTTAGTATGCTTCAATAATCTCAAATAACCACTATTTTAAAAATAGATATAATATTTCGGTTTAATACATGAAAAAACGTGAATAAACATCATACCTTTAAAATAAAAGCCTATATTATAGTTGATGTGTTTTTCATTTTCAACGCGAAAATCTATATTTCTATTATTTAAATCCCTTTGCATTATATATTTTCATTTGTAAATTTTATTTTTTTTATTTATTTTTTAAAATATATCGTATCTTTTGCCAACTATTTTTTTTCGATAGAACAAATCGTAACTAGGATTTCTTTTCCGGTAAATATCAATATTAATTTTGTTGATTCAACTCTTAACATTTTCAAGTCTTAATGATTCTACATTACCATTTATTATTAATTATTAGTATATTATAGGATCAATAAATATTTTATCAGTTGTCTCTCTCTCTATGTGTGTGTGCGCGGGGGAGGGGCTAAGATATTCGTAGCCCCCCTATACACTTCTTTTTTGAATATTATTTAGTACCTGAAATGGTTGACGAAAAGGGTCATTTTTATTGTTGCAGGCATCAATTATTGTACTTTTACTTTATTTTAAAAAAAAATAGAATGATGTATTAAAAAATTTCATATGTAAATTTAAAAATGAAAAATTTAAATCATATATTTAAGCTTATAAAATAAAAAGTTAAGTCAATCTTAGAAAAATTTATTTCTTTAAGCATTAGGCATGGGTTTTACATCTGCCAACAGCCGTTCTAACGTATATAAAAGAGCGAAACGCACAATTTTAATTACTATTTCGTCTTTAATTTTCTTGCTGGTAATCTATTATTTAAGTTTCTTTAATTTTATTAATTTTTATTAATAGCAATCATTATCATTTTTTTTTTTTTTTTTTTTTTTTTTTTTACTAATTTTTGGTCTTTTCCAATTTAATAATTTCATGTGATTATATTTCGATATTAGATTTTTTGAAATTGAAGCGCCATAATCTTCCGATCCTTGATAACATCTTCGAAAGGGTCGGGTGGGTAAATAACTCGTCTCGAATTTAAGGTCGGGTTGAGTCACTAGATTATTGATCCGTGTCCGTTCCGACCCAAGAATTGAGGATTTTATCACAACTAAGCTTGCTTTTAATCGTGAAAATATATTCATTGCTTCATCAAAGTGTTTTTTAAAATCAAAATCAACCTTTTATAAAGTTAATATTCTCTAATTATTGAAATATTTATGAACTATTCTTATATACATTCTTACCAGATCATTTTGTTGAATGGGTTCAATTCGAAAGAAATTGAAGTACAGCAATCCTTTATGTATTATTGTTCAATTGTCTGCTTTCTGCGCCTCAAACTCAGTAATTTTTTAAAATTTTGTGTAACGTGTGACATTACTGAACATATAAAAAGTTTTTTTTTTTGATCTCACATTTTTGCCATTTTACTGTGTGAACGTTACAGAACTGACTTACATAAAATATAAGGTCTTAGCTTACGACAAAAAATTCAGATAATCATCCTAGTTTATTCTTTTTTTGCAAATTATCAATTTAAAATGTCAAAACAGGATAAACGACAAGTGTTACCAACTAATGTAAGACCGACACATTACACTTTGACTTTGACACCAGACATGGTCAATTTCACTTTTATCGGATCCGAAATTGTCAAGTAAATTATGAGTCGAGTCGATCACGTGCTATTTTATGAGTCTATCCGATTAATATTTTTCGTTGATTATTATAGTATTAAAATCAACGAAAATACAAAAGTTATAACTCTTCACGTTAACGAAATTGAAGTAAAATCTGCCAAGCTTATCAATTTGGATTTAAAAGCCAGTCAAGGGTAATTTTTATCAACTTCATAACAATAAAATTTTTATATTAACAATTTGTGATTGAACGACTAGTTATGAAGCGACGAATATCGATTATGACATTCAAAAAGAAACAGTTTCTTTAACCTTTCCACACGAGTTTTCTTCTGGAACTGCTGCTTCCCTTCATATTGAATACACTGGCATTTTGAATGATAAATTGGTCGGATTTTATAGAAGTTCATTTGAAGATAAAAGCGGAAATACTAAGTGCGTTTCATCACTCGCTTGCAAATTTGATTATTACTTCAAAGTGCGTCATGAATACTTATTCTTTTAACTTAAAGATATCTGGTAACAACTCAATTTTCACCAACCGAAGCTCGTCGAGCGTTCCCCTCATGGGATGAACCCGCAATTAAAGCTACATTTGATATCACTTTAATTGTACCCTCTGATATGACTGCTTTAAGTAACATGAATGTAATCAGCGAGACTCAACTTGGTGATGATAAAAAAGAAGTCAAGTTTAACAGAACGCCGATAATGAGTACCTACGTGTGGTTCATTTTAATATTATATCTTCTATCATAGAATTCGGAGATTACTTATAATATGTTACTTAATAGTTGGTTGCTTTCATTGCCGGTGACTTTGGGTATATTGAAGACTATACAACTGGGGGTCGTGATGATGGCGAGCCTATATTGGTCAGAGTGTATGCACCTAAGGGCAATGAACAGCATGGTAAATTTGCTCTAGGCGTAGCAACACAAGTCTTGGAATATTTTGTAAAAGGTTTGAAGAGGCTTACCATATATTTATTCAACGATATTTATCGCTGGTATTATAGCATTTATAGTTGTTTTTAGTATTTGAAATTCCATATCCTTTGCCTAAATGTGACTTGATTGCAATTCCGGACTTTGGATTTGGTAAGATATAATCATCCTTAGTTGAATTTATGAGAATTGATAATTTACTAACAATACAATCAGGTGCAATGGAGAACTGGGGTTTGATTACGTTTCGTACTGCCCGTGTCCTTTTCGATCCTAGATTGTCTAATGTCAAAATTAAGCAAGATATTGCGTATATTATATCACATGAAATTGCACATCAGGTATTTAAAATTCTTTCCGTAGTAAATATTGGTTGATTTATAATGATTGACGTTGTTTCTAGTGGTTTGGTAACCTCGTAACCATGGAATGGTAACTTCATTATTATTTATTTCATTTGTTTCGATTTTTAGATAATTTCTCAAAATTAATCGTCAATTTCTTATAGGTGGGAACATCTTTGGCTCAAAGAAGGTTTCGCCACGTGGGTTGGATATTTTGCAGTTGATAAACTCTTTCCTGACTGGAATATTTGGACTCAGTAAGTTTTATATATGTAGTATCTTCTAATTTGTAATATTATATTCTTGGCATTAAATTAAAATCTATTCATATGGAAATTTTAATTAGATTTGTCACTCAGGGATTTCAGAGCGCTCTTCAACTTGATTCTTTAAGATCTTCTCATCCTATTGAAGTTCCTGTAAATAATTCCAGGTAATTTATAACCTTAAATATTTTCATTGATTTGTTTTGCTTACACTAACAATGCTTGTCATATTTGCCTACTTTGAATTTCACATATTCAGTGAAATTTCTCAGGTTTTCGATGATATTAGTTATCAAAAGGGTGCTTCTGTAATTCGCATGCTAAGCACTTACCTTGAGGAGAAAGTTTTTTTATCCGGCATTAAAAGATATTTAAAGCTACATGCATTCGGAAACGCGAGTACAGATGATTTATGGAAAGCGTTATCCATAGAGAGTGGCAACGATGTTGGTCAGTTCATGACAGGATGGACAAGGATGGTGGGAGTGAGTATAAATGAAATTATTAAATACAGACACTTTTAAGATATCACAATTTAATTTATATAAATTTTATCATAGTATCCAGTATTAATTGTTAAAGAACCAACACCCGATACCTTGGAAATCTCTCAGTTTCGGTTCCTTTTATCTGGAGTAATTAGTCCTGATGAAGATACTGTCAATTGGTGGGTACCTCTTGGCGTTGACCTTGGCCCTGATACTCAAAGTGAAATTAAGTCCTCTATTCTCAATCAAAAGAAAATCACATTGAAATTGCCACCTAGAAAATCCGATTTTTATCAACTCAACGCACGCAAGACTGGCGTTTTCCGTGTCAATTACACCCCTGAACGGTTATTCAAGTTAGGACAGGCAGTTAGGTTAGAATTGCTTGATGTTAGTGATCGTATTGGAGCAATTGCTGATGCTGGTGCTTTAGCAACTAGTGGTTATGGGAAAACTAGTGACTTTTTGAGCTTCATTAAAGAATTTGAAGGAGAAGATAAATATGTGTAAGCTAACAATTATTTGTGTGCTAATACAATTTTATTTAATGTACTAAATTTTCATTATCTTTTCTAATAGTGTATGGAGTGAAATCAGTATTCGTCTCAAAAATGTGCTTGATGTTTGGTTTGAACAACCCACAACAATTTATCAAGGACTTCTAGCGTTCAACCGTCAATTAGCATCTAGATTGGTTTCCAAATTAGGTTGGGAATATCCTAAAAGTGATGATTATTTGACCACATTATTAAGGACACTAGTTATTAATATAGCCGGCAGAGCTAATGATCCAGAGTACGTTAATGTTTATGTAATGATATTTATTTATTCTTTGATTAATTTAATTTTTATCTGGTAGTACTGTGAAGGAAGCTTATCGCAGATTTAATCTTTTCACGAAACAAAACGATGTATCTGCTTTGCATCCTAACATTCGTGGTGTTGTATTTCGAATTGTTTTATCCCACGGTGGCGGAGACGAAGAATTTGAAGCTATATTGAAAATTTATCGTGATTCCAAAACAGCAGATCAGAAATTAGAAGCTTTGTCTGGTCTTTGTTTTGCCCAGCGTGATGACTTGATTCAACGTGCTTTACAATTTGCAATCAGTGAAGAAGTCAAAAGTCAAGATGTGTTTCACGCATTTGCTAAGTAAGTAAATTTTTATAATACACGTTAAATTTTATGACGTTTGCTCATGTTTTAATTTGATTATTTGTAGTTTGCAATCAAATCGTAAGTCGCGAAGACAATTATGGAACTTTGTTAAAGACAATTGGGATGTGGTATGAATGGAAATTTTATTTGGTTGAAAAAGCTTGTTTAAAATTTATACTAAAAATACATGCTTTAGATTCATAAACGGTTTATCAACTTTCGTGCGCTTTTTGGAAAAATTATTAAGTCAAGTATTGAATTATTCTCATCTGAAGATATCATTGTGGATATCGAGAACTTCTTCTCTAACAGGGATTGTAAAGGATTTGAAAGACCTTTGCAACAAAGCATAGAAAAGATTCGTGTTAATGCGGCTTGGCTGAAGCGTGATTCAAGGGATGTTGAGGATTGGTTAAAAACTAATGGTTTCTTGGAATGATTTAGTTGTGTAATTATTTAAATGAAGAATCTTATTTAAGAAATAACCTTAAACGATAATTTGTGAAGTATCAGAATTAATAATAATTATTATTATATATATTTCAAATAAAGTGAACCAATTTTGTGAAAATAAAATAACCATACGAACTGTTAAATCTTGTTGGTTACCTTCCTACAATTGAATTATTAAATGTTGACATATTCTATCCTAATTAAATAAAATTTTCAATTTTTTAGAGATGTTGTACTTACAATTTTTTTAAACTCACTCTTTAAAAAATATAAAAATATAATAATTTCTTTAAAAAAAATTTCTTTTACACAAGATGTAATCATTTGTTTTTCAACTTTAGATAACATATCTAGGCTGCAATTTTCTTCTTCAGATTGTTCTGTAAGGATCTACCAAAAATCTGTAAGTACAAAGACGTGACATAAAGTTTGTTGTAAAGGGCTTGGATTAATAATGATAAAGTTTTTGTGCAATGGTCAAAAGATTGATGTAGCTACCACTATGTATGGGTTGCACCATTACCAAAAGATGCTAAATATTCTCCGGGTAACATCGTTATTTGGTAATTTTTTTCGAGTTTCAAAAAGGCGGCACCACATATTACGCCAATACTTATCTTTTATTGTATAGTTATTTATTATTTAAGTGCTATTGGGGGAATCATATCACTAACACACCGCTTTAGCTAATCAAAATTCCCAACCCTTGTATACAAGGTGGAAAAAGATATACTGTGAAGTTATCGTGAATTTTACGACGTTGCCGCATTTAAACCTAATAAATTTTCGATAATGTTGAAAAAAAAAATTTTTTTCATCAACCTAATTCGGGACGGGATCGTTTCGTTGGAGAAAAGATTTAATTTCGTAAACATTTAATATTGTAATTAACGTCTTTTGATAAAAATGACTGGATAATATAAGCAAAGAGTAAACATAAAAGGAGAAAGAAAATTTTGATTAAAATTGTCCCTTTAAAATGAAATATTTATTATTAAAGAAATTCGAGCTTTTGATTTATACTTGGTGCGTGGACAAAATTGACGAAGTCAAAGATGATACTTTTTTTTTCAGATTTAAATTTATTATTGGCTGAACTGTTGATTCGGATCAAAAAAAATCAATATTTTCTTGATTCTAAAAATAGCCAAATATCACATTTTATAATCACGTGTCATGCATTCTGCAACGCGTCATTTAATCAACTGACATAAAAATTATCTCTGTCATTATTTTCTTGGTTGGTCATTATATATAGTATATAGTTTACTTGGTCACTAAATATAAAATATAGTTTACTTAGTCTTGAAGTACACCATATAAATTTCTACCCTCGCTCCATAAATTATAAAATTTAAAATCTCGTAGAAAAGAATAAAAGATAAATAAATCATACCTTCTAAAAAACGAAAACTTCAAGTATGTCTAACGTCGTCGGTAACGTAGAAAACGTTGGTAACGGTAACGTCGGTAAGTAAGATTTTAGTGCACGTAGAAACTCTTTTATGTTTATTAACGACCATTATTTTCATATCAGATCAACTTTCTCCAGAACTACAAAAAGTTCTTGACAATTTAAACCCACTGCAGAAAAGAAGATATAATGCTACTTCAGACAAAGTTTGGCTTTTAGAATGCATTCTGGAAGAACGTAAAAAATCAGTAAGTTTACTTAGAATACTAATATGTCAAGGTATATATGTATATCATTCACTAAAATTTACACTGACTAGTTTATCCGTCGATATTTATTTCCTTATAGGAAATCGCGTGGGAATTAATCTCTGTTATTGTTCATTCTATAACTGTTGGTGTTATTGCTCACATAAATGCGCTATACTTTAAAAGTGATGAATCAACCAAATATTTTGTTGTAATTTTACATGGTGTTTATTATGCAATTAAATTTTCAATTATGGGAATAAAGTTAGAACGCGATGGATTAATTCACAATAAAGTCAATGATATTATTATTCTTTTACCAACAAGTATAGGCCTATTACTTAATTTAAACACGATTTTGGTTAAAAATTATTTGAGATGTAGTGACATGCCATGAGTCTGGGGCTTCGGTTATAATTCTAATCAAGAAATCCCATACTTTTTTGTAAAAGATTTCAAGAGTAACATTTATTTCTTTTCTCTTTTTTTTTGGAAGTTTTCATTTCATTTCCCTAATAACAAATTAAAGTAAATAAGAAATTAAAATTTAAATTATCATTTGCAAATAAACTTAATCGTGTATTCGCTTAGTTTTCCTACTTCGATCAAATGTTGCAATCCGATGCAAACCATTAAGCAAATGAAGATGCAAGCCTTTTAACAAATCAATCTACACCTAGAATATATTAAGAATAAATCAGTTGAATTCCTTTTTCTTAAATCTTTACTTTCGTTTGACTTTTTTTCGGTTACTTTATATTTTGAAAGGAATATATATACGAGAAATATAATAAAAGATCAATCATGTCCAAATTCTTTCAAACAAACTCTAAGTCAATTTCGTTATCGATAAATTATTAATTCACGCCACAGAAGGATTCTTTCATTGCAAATATGATATATTTTGCTATGGGATTCAGTAAAATGATAAAGAAAATGGCAAATTATGATTAATTTTGAGGTTATGATTTTCATAAAAGCATGAGTTTGCCTATTTCTTGATCCATATCTGTCATTGTTTTGTTATTTTTTAGCATAAACATTAAAATTCGTTGAAGTCGAGACTTGCAGCTGCGTTGGATGCGCTGTCAACTAAATTAATCAAAACTATGTATGAATATAAAATTTTACTATTGTAGATTTTTTTCATATTAAGCTACATAGTTAATTTGTCTTATAATAAATTTCACGAAAGTATTCAAAATGTTACTTTCATAAAATAGCTTGCTTTTTTTTTGTTTAAAAAAAAATATCCAGTAATACTTCGAAAATAATAAATAAAACCTTTCAACTAGGAAAAAATTTTATAAAATAAAAATTTGATGATGAATTCGAAGAGTTCTTTCGAAGAATTCTGGAATGCTGACATATTATTTATTATTATTCACCAAAAACAAGAACGAGTTTGAATTTTCAACAAATTAGATTTGAAAACTCATGCAAACATGTCATTATCTCTTAAACAATCAAATTTTCGATTAGAGAATTTGACAGAAGGTCTGAAAAAATGAGGGTTCAAAAATAAGAACAAAAAAATAATTCCATTGTAAAATATTTGGTCACCACAATTTGGAGCAGAGGTTGCGCCAAATGACTTTGATCCCATTGAATAGGTAATGACTCTTGATCAACATATGCGCACATAAAATTGTTTGAAGTTGTACAATTAACATTCTAAAGACGATTAATTATAAAATTTATTTAATTTATAGAATTTACCAGTTTCACAAATACTATAAAACTCTAAAAATCATACGCTTTTAATTATAAATAACTATCCGAGTATTAGAAAAAAATGACCCTTACTGTCTTATAATTCGACTTTGTAGCTTGATAGCTGTAAAAGAAAAACGATTCACTTGAATTCAATACTTCGAACTAAACATTATGTGAAGACATGGCAAATGGTAATAGCAAATAAATATTTAATTTTCCTTTATTGAACTCTTGGTTTTATCCTAAAACCCTATCTCGAGTTACCTTTCAACTCGAGGAAAAGTACATAAGTTAAAATTCTAATAATATAATATAAATGATAAATACGATAATAATAATAAAGATAAGAAAGATAATAACTTTACTAAATAAATCCTAACTAAAAAATAATATAAATAGTAATAGAAATATTAATTATATATATGAACACTTTGTCAAATTTGTCAATTTCGTCAACTTCGTTAAATAATTCACGTGACAGGCCGCCACGGCTTCAAAGTATAAATAGAAGTATTATTTTCCAAAATTTGAAATACTTCGTAATCTTCAATTTTGAAATCTTCTGTATTTCTTATCCTTTTTTCATAATCTGTTGGTTTGCAAAAATTACGATTATAAACATTTCCTTCGTTATTAGGATTGCATATACACAGATCACAACTAAATGTAGGACCATTTGTATAGAAATAAAATAATGCATTATGTTTAATATTCACATGGCTTAAAATTGAATCCTTCAAATTATCCTTATTCTTAAAAGAAAATATGAAACTATCCTTCGTTTGACCATTTTCACCAAGTAAATCATTAGATTTCTTCCATATTGAAGGATTATACCCTCCAAGGATCTCTTCTGTTCCTTTTACTTTAATAAATGTAACCGTATAAGGTACATTATCACATAATTCATGAAACTTCTTAGGAGTAAATCCATCTCGGCTTCCTCTTAATAATAATTTAAATTTATATGGTAAATACAGTTCTCTTACATAAGCAAAGTTGCTTTTAGTTTCTAACTTATCAATCCATCTCGAAATTATGGAAACGATATTTATGTTAACGATTCTTGTATCAATAATTCCATCAACATTTCTAAATCTAGGAAGTAAAATACCATCACTTGGTTTACTATTAGGGTCTAAATGTGAATTTAATAAACCTTCATAAAGTTGATTTTTCAAAAGCCTTTTATATGGGCGAACATATTTGACGAATTCTTCAGAAGATAAACTGAAAAATCTAACAAAGGGTAAACAATTTGACAAGGTATTTCCCATCATTTTGAAATCATCATCTGACCAAGTTAAGGGATCTGGGTTAAGAGTGTGATGTTTTTCAAGACCCCATTTTAGTACATGCTTCCAAACTTCAACTTCTTTCATTTGTAACTCATCCCTTTTAATAAGTGAAATTAAAGATTTTTCAGGAAACGAAGTAAAATCAAATGATTTGAATGCCTTATAAGGTAACTTAGCCATAAATTCTGTGCATAATTTTTGAAGTTCTACAAAGGAATTAGATTGGAAGCTTGTTCTATAAGCAAGTTCAAAATGCTGTTCCATCAATATATTTTTTTTTTCAATTAGATATTTTTGTAAATATTCAACCAATTCTTGAAGATGAAGTTCATCAGCAGCACGCATTACTTTTAAAGTATTTAAAATGTCTCGTTCATCTAATGATATAATTCCACCATAAATATACCTAAATTAAAAGAAAGGATAATTTTAATATTTTAAATTAATTGAAAGAAAGTAATATGTATACTTGGTTAATCAATTTACTTCAAAATCATTTGAAAGACTTCTGGTGAAATATTTGGTAATCTAATACTTGTTAAGGTCTTTTCATTTTTCTTTTTATTTGCCAAAGTTCGTTGGAAATATACAGAACGGTAGCACAAAATATTCATGTGCCCCCGGAATATTCTACCATTTGGATATTTTCCAACTTCAATTGTGATATCGTAATATTCATTGTCATCTAATATTTCGATATAATTTCGACTTAAATTGGAAAAAAATTGTTTTGACATTTATAAAATTCTTCAAAATTTATAATTTTAATAGATTAGGAAGAGAAGAAATAATTTTTTTTTTGTTATGATGATCGAATTATTTGCTTTATAATTTTTGCCAATCGTTCAACACAAACCCGATTTAGAATGTCAATTTCGATTTGGAATAGTACAGTAGATCACTTATAACAGCAGCAAAATCAAAATTTTTGGTTGTTTAAGATTTTCAGCTGCCGTAATATCATTTCCTATTCGGATATTTCAAGTGATGCAGAGCATATATGAAATAGTTTCATTTTGAAGGAATTTGCGTTCGTCATTACACACCATTGTAGAACTATATTTAAAATTCTCTTGAATACGATAAAAGATAATTGTTTGTGCTGTTGGACGCTCCTATTGCAAGTATTTCATAAATGTATATATTTCCTTCTGAAAAGCGTATCTTATTGGTAAATCATATATATATAATAAAAAAAAAAAAAAAAAGAATTCTAGCAATTACATTTAAATCTGAATTCCCGGAAATAAACCATACATAACAGTTCCATGTTCAGCTAAAATCATAGATTGTGAAGGAACTAAAATATTATATACTCTACGTTGAAATTTTTGTTTAATTATTTTTTGTAAATACAGTACTTTGGTTCATAAACCTCCAACTAAAACCATCACTTATGCAATATGAGGTAATGTTTTTTTAAATTGATTATGGCGCAGCATTCAGATCTTTTCACTTTACAATGTTTCTTTTTTTATTCTTTTCTTTTTTTTATTTCATTTCGTTCGCTTCATTTATCTTTTTCAGGATTTTTCTTTCTCTTTCATATTGGATCCTTTCTGCAAAGATAAGGTAAGCTTTTGCTTATTTTCTTTAGTTTTTTTTTCTCCTATTTAAATTGCTTCTGGATGCAATATTTGAACAATGTATTTTAGAATTTGTGACTTTTAGATACCTCTTTCGTGTTTAATCCCTTCTGCAAGTTTAGATATTCCCCATTTAATTTTTTTTGTTCAGAGATTAGATCACTTTTGATTTCATTCAGCTATTTGACGGTAAGCCCCAGGAATATACTTAAGACGTGTGATTCGCCAGAGATCGGCACTAATCACATGATAAACATATAATAAATTTGGGGATAAGAATTATAATAAAATAAAGAGCGTGTTTCCACCCAACCACTAAAACCAAATTTTTTTTATTTTACTAATGAAAGTAAATGAATAAGTTTAATTTGTGTTGCAAAATTTCTATTTTTTTCTATTTTGAAATCAAAGAAAATATCAAACTATACCCCTTCTTTCTTATTTTTTTCTAATTGATTCAATAAATATCAAAGTTTACCTTTTAATTTTTGTAAATGGCTAAAAATTCTCGTCAATTATCTGTATTTCTTGAGAATACTGGTTCACTTTTACAAGAACTTCATTATGGGCCATATTCTCGCTTTTGGTGGGACTTTTCAGCTGAAAAAAATATTGTAAACTTTTCCATTCGTCTTGATCAACAAGTTAAAATTTTTCTCAATGAACATGACTTTTTTTTAACAATAAAAAAAGGAATAGAAAACCTGCCAGAATATTATTGCAAAAGTGGTCAAGCGAAAGCAATTGAAGCCAGTCTAACAAAAGCCGTTTCAATAGTATATGCAGCAATATTTAATAATTCTATACAATATTCAGATCATGCAATCATGGGTTGGAATAATGAAACTATTTTAGAAATACTCAAAAAAGATATTGAATTTTTTCCAGTAACATGGTTAGTTGGAAAATATAAAATCTTTTTATATGCTATTGGTTGTTCTTCATGTGAAAAATGGAAATATGTGGGATCAGGCTTTTAAGCTTCTATTATTCATAAATTTGAAAGAAAACAAGGAATTTTTGTATTACGAATTGAAAATAAGCACTGTATTGTAGAAATTTATCAAGATTCTCAACTGAAGAAAAAGTTTGTTAACGTTGACCCAAATAATGTTTGGCAAAAGACAGGGCAAATTTAAAAATATAATGGAATTCAACTTTTTGGTTTAGACAATTTAGTAACTCAACAACTCATACAAAAATATCGAGTTCCTACTTGTAAACTTATAAATTAATAAGACCAATCGATTATGAAACCAATTTTTGATTATTATTTGAAAAGAAGAATATTGATAAATATTAACTGGCATAAATTTTTATTAGTTAGGCTGAATTAGATATTACAATAATTGATTTAAAGTTTAATTTGCAAAAAATATATTCACAAAATTATAATTTTGGTGAACATAATTTTTAAATGTAGAAAGCAATGCTATGTGCATCTGGATGCACTAATGTAACTCTATGATCACTTAATGAATCAAAGTAAATATTTATTTTGAAAATTTAATAAAATAGTAGATAGGTTATAATAATAATAAATCAAATGTAAAAAAAGTATGTAATTATTATAATAGGTGAAGCATTTAAAATATTTTTTATTCAGTTAGTTTATTTATTATAATAAAAATATTATAATTTTAGTTATAATTATTATGAAATAAAAAAAAAATTAAATATTAGATTATTTTTTATAATTTGATAAATATATATATATTAGATCGAATTGTAAACCAAATTACCTAATCCAATTACTGATAAAAAAACATTAGCAAACTTATTTAAAATAAGATTGCTTACCTCTATTCCAATCAATATGACTAATGCAACATTTACTTTTTGGTTGTATTTTGATTGAGCTCTATCAAATAATAAAAAAACATATGACAGTAAACATAGAGTATTATCTATAATTGCTGAGAATTTTACTTATGATGAATTATAAACAAATTTAGGTATAAATACGAATTTCATTATTATATTTATCAATATCAATCCAATAAATCTAATATATTTCGTGAATATAGATTAGAAGATATCTAATTTTAGAATCACGTAAACATGAATATATTAATAGATATGGAGCTCTAATATTAAAAAAACATATTATTTATCAAAAAAAATTTACAGTAGAAATGTTAGACCAATTTGAACAATATTTTAATAATAAAGAAATTGTAAATATGAGTTCATATAAAACAGATACCTCTACTAAACAACTAATTTTATATTTACAGGATCACAAAAAAGTATTATGGAAATAATTTTCAGAACAGTATTCTAATGGTATATGACAAACTTCATTTATAATAAAATTCAAAGGTAAACGATTTGTATATCAGAATAATCTTGGTGATTATATTTAACATGTAATGATTTTTGATTATATAGTATTTGATAATATTAATGTACTAATTATAACACATATAACTAATGAATTGATATGGGTATGTAAAATAAATATAATATCATAAATTGATTATTTTTAAATTTCTAATAATCAATTACTAT